AACAAAACACAAGACATCTTTCTTTTGCTAATGTGACTTGGCGATGTAGGGACTTGGCTACACAGCAGCACATATTCCGTGCTGCGTCGCTGTAGCACTTCAGTGTAGACACACACAGCAATGCTGGGAGGGGGTCTCCTGTAGGTGTAGTTAATCCAATTTCCAGAGAGGCGGTAGCTAGGTTGATGGAAGAATTCTTCTGTCAGCCTGGTGCTGTCTACACCGAGGGTTAGAGACAGCGACATCTCTCAGGGCTGTGGATTTTTCACACCTCCGAGAAATGTAGCTACGCTGGTGGACATTTCCAGTGTAGACCAGCCCTAACACTGCCGTAAAAGGGGTGTGAAAGTGGGTGTCAATTACCTCTTGTTTGGAAGCTCTAAGAACTACTTTACCCCGAATTACATTTGCATCCACTTTTAGTCCTGTGACCCTTTTATGCTGCCAGCGTGGCATAAAAGGACTTTAGCATAACTGAGAATCAGGCCCAAGGTGACCAGCTACATTTCAAGGAAATAAAGGACAAGGATATGGAAAAAACATCAGAGAAAGGTTAATTTGAAAGGACATCATCTTACAGACTCTTACTCGTAGTACAGAATTGTGCATTTGTATCACGGTGTACTGTTCTTTGCATGTTTAAAGCTTGATTATTCCCCCCCCCTTTTTATCTGGGGCAGGGTCTGGGTCTCGGTTGTCTTACACCTTGTCTAGTCATTTGCACCGGTGCTAAGTGAATGATTCCCCACCGATCTCGTTCCTTGCTTTGGCACAAGCAGTGCTGATCTGCTTGTGACTTAACTCCCCCCCCAACCTATCTAAGGTCTCACCACCTCCCCGTAGGTCGGCAGGTAACCTTTTGCTTCACTGCAGTAGCCTGCAGGATGTGAGATTGTCTTTCCTTCTCAAGTGCTTTGTCTTTGCCACAAGTACTCCTGTTCTTTTTGTCTTTTAAATTACTCTTGTTTCATGTGTCAAATCGCCCCACCCTTCCATCTGGCTTTTATAGTCTTACTTTTTAGAGGTTTTAACCATTGTTGTTTCTTACGTATATTATTTATAGCGACACAAGCACCTATTTGGAGGTGCCGGGTGTATATTGAAAGCTTTATGAATATTATTTTACATGTCTCCAGCTCAGATACCATGATAATGAGTGCATTGTCCAAACCTGGAATACAGTAGCTCTTTCCTACCCAAGATCTCAAAGTACTTCACAAGCATTAATGAATTAAGCCTCACAATATGCCTGTGAGGCAAGTCAGAATTACAGATGGGGAAAATGAGATATATTAAGGTCAAAATGTTCAAAAGTAGCCACTGATTTTAGTTACCCCCACCTCTGAGATTCTTTGAGCTGGATTCTCAGCTGGTGTAGATCAGGATAGCTCTGTTGACTCTGATGAAGTCCCAAATTGCCTGAATTTTAAGAGCTCTGAGAGTACAAACCTCCAGCTGAGGTCAGTGGGGAAGAATATGATCAGTCTTTAAAGGTGGAAGTACATGAAACAATAGCTTTTGAAAATCTGGCTGTGACACACAAACGAACGCAGTAACTGGGAACAAAACCGAGGTTTACTGAGTCCCCCCCCAAACAAACAGACAAACAAACAAAAACTTCAAAACACCCCGGAAGCAGTTGCTAATATTTTAAAATTCTGACTGGAGCTGATCAGAAAATGAGCAGGGGAGAGAGAATCACATTTTTTTGTGATTCCCTCCTTCCCGGTCGAAAATAGATATTTCAATTGAAAATTTAATCAAAAATGTGAATTTTGAAAAATGTGAACCAGCTGTAACCCTAATATTTTATGGGAAAGGGAGGGGAACACTTAAGAGAATCCAGTTTCATTTACTGGTTTGGTTTTTAATTTTTCTCCCCAAAGAAAGGAACTCTTTATATGCTGTATGTTATAATTTAACATTCCAACTGAGTATTTATATTCCAAGAAGGCAATGTGTGAACTCTAGCACGCTTTCACTGTCTTATATATTAATTTTAAAAACAATGTCAAGGTAACTAGTTCCCAAAATTTACATACTGTGGGGGAAATCCTGGTTTCATTGAAATCAATGGGAGTTTTGCCATTGCCTTCGGTGGGGCAGAATCTATTCACCCTGTGTCTGTCTTTTAAAAACGAGCTAGTTCTTTTAATGTTGACGTTCCACTGATGTTTCTTTGACAAACTGATTGTTGCGGAGAGCTCAATTTAAATCACTCATCCCCTCCTGCTGCTTGCATTAACAAAGCCCTGCATGTGTATTTTGAGAGTGAATTTCACTCAGACCCTGCCTTATTCAGGACTCACCAGAAGCCAGGCATGGTTTTTGCTTGCCTTTTGGTTGTTGTTTAATTACTTGTTACTGCAAAGACCAGTTTATAAAACAAACACCTCAGTTCAAGTGGGAAGAGGGAGGTTGGGTGCACAATAGTTTAGTCACCTGAGGGCTGTAATACAGTACTTTGGTCTAACACTGGTTGTTGGGCTGAGTATGGGTTGTTTAGTGGTGTTTAGTGGCCTCTGATATACGGGAGGTCAGAATGACCTAAAAGCATTAATGATACATTTTAGTCGATTTTGTAGACCTAACCCCTTTGAATATATCACTTGGTAAGGGAAGGGTAATATTATTATTATTTAATCTATAACAATTTAATTATTATTTGTTATTAATATATATTACTACATACTGTACCTTTTACGTCTATCACAGTAAGACACCTTGGATGATCAGGGCTGGATCACTAGATTCTTGTACAACAATGCTAATGTCTGATCCAGTGCCTGCTCACATCAATGGGAGTCTTTCCATTGACCTCAGTGGCTGCTGGATCCGACCCTTAGACCTTGACCTTGATCACTCCCTTGTGGGCAGCAGACAGGTCAGTCCTCCCAAACCTAGGTGCCCTTTAGGAAGATTCCTTCAAAGGCTGGTGCCTTGTAATTTATTTTGGCTAGTTAAACCACATGAATGAAACTTAAATCATCAGCAAGTCACCTCCGGGCGTGGGCTTTGTTATGGTCACAGTTTGGGGTGTGCCAAGACATCAGACACTTGGTGGATCTACATCAGTGTTTCACGGTGCATACGCTCTGGTGCGGATGGCGCTGAAAAGTACTTGTATGGAAACCAGACAGCTTAAACCAAGTCCCTGATACAGCTAAGGCCTAAACATGTGCTTAACTTTAAGTACATACTTAAGTCCTATTGAAATCCATGGAAAGCTCAAGCTAATAGTGCTAGATTGGTGTGGTTGGAGGACCTTTGACTTGAATTCATTCCTCCCCAGGCCTGATCCAATTCCCATTGAAGTAAATGGAAAGGCTCCCATAATTTACTGTACTTGATCAGTCCCTAAATTTGCTGACTATCTTCAGGAGATGAGGCAAAGCTATCTGTTTTATAGGGGGGAGGGATAGCTCAGTGGTTTGAGCATTGACCTACTAAACCCACGGTTGTGAGTTCAGCCCTTAAGGGGGACACTTAGGGATCTGGGGCTAAATCAGTACTTGGTCCTGCTAGTGAAGGCAGGGGGCTGGACTGTATGACTTTTCGAGGTCCCTCCCAGTTCTAGGAGATAGGATATCTCCATTAATTTATTTATTTTATTTATTTAAGGCTTTCTCCCCTATGGGTGTTTCGGAGGGGATTATTTGATAAGAGCATATGTTTTGTTTGAGTTACTGCTCAGTGGACCAATTTTGCTTTTTGTCGCTCTTTGTTATAAATGTAGAGGTTGACAATTACTTGCACCATGCAAGGCGGCTAAATTAAGTAATCTGAATAATAAACGTTTTTAAGTATTAAAAAAAAATGACTTCAGTGAAGGATAGTCGTCTTGCGCAGTGAAGTCATAGGGCCAAGACTGAACTTTGTATAAATCCTTTAATGGTTCTGAGAATACAGTCCATGCTGTGCCCTTGTTCCATTTATTCAAGCTACCTGGAAATGTCTGATATTTAAAACACCTCTGCACCCAGCAGATTATCTTCTTCCTGTAAAATACTACAGTCCAGCACACACATTAGACAGCATGGGCCAGATTGTTAGCTAGTGTAAATCAATGTCACCCCATTCCCTTCAGTGGAATGATGATGATTTACGCCAGCTGAGGATCTGGCCTTACAAATGTAAACCAAGGGGAATTCAGTTTTGAGTAGTTATGGTCTGTGACATTTATAGCATCCAACCCAAGAGGATAAGCTCTGTGGAGCTGGATGAGCAAATGCAATGTGCAAGTGACAGGCAATTAGCAAGGCAGCCTACGCTACACATAAGATCAGGCCTCCTCTTGCTAAGTCTGAGGCCTGGTTTACCCCTAAAACTTAGGCTGACATAGCTACATTGCTCAGGAGTGTGAAAAAAAATCACATCCTGGAGCGATGTAGTTAACCTGAACTAAGCCCCGATTTAGACATGGCTAGGTTGATGGGAGAATTCGTCCATCATCCTAACTACCGCCTCTTGAGGACTGAAATCCCCCTTCCATTGCTATAGCAAGTGTCTACACTGCTGCTGTAGTGCTTGTAGTGTAGTCATAGTCTTAGTCCCTTTCTGCGAAGACGTTTTAAAATCAAGGGTCAAGGACCATAATTTTAGTCATCAGAACAGGAGATTCTGGCAGCCATATCTGTAGAGGCAGCGTGGTCCGGTGGATAGTGTACCACGCTGGGATTTGGGTTCTGTTCCTGGCTCTGTTGCTGATTGGCTGTGTGACCTTGAGTGAGTCACTTCCCCTGTCTGTGCCTCTGTTCCCCTTGTCTGTCTTTCCTATTTAGACTGCAAGCTCTTTGGGGCAGCAACTGTCTCATACTATGTGTTTATATATTATACAATGGGGCTTTGATCTTGGTTGGGGCTGTTAGGTGCTGCTGTAATACAAACTAATAACGAAAGTACTTGCTGGCAGAAATGAAGTGCACAGCTGATCAATTGGGCCTTTCCCAGGGGAAGGGATTCTGATTGCGTTTCTCTTCCTTCCTTTTTTCTTTCTCTAGAAATTGGCAGCAGAATGCCAGAGTGCGGGATACCCTGGCGTCCTTATCCCCTATAAGTGCGATCTGTCCAATGAAGAGGAGATCCTATCTATGTTCTCTGCAATCAAGACTCTACATCAAGGGGTTGATGTGTGCATCAACAATGCTGGCTTGGCTCGCCCCGAGCCCCTGCTCTCTGGGAAAACGGAGGGTTGGAGGATGATGATAGATGTGAGTAGTACGCCTGCGAAACAATGGGAACTATGATGGGCTGGGCAGAGAGATGCGAGTCTTTGCCCTGACCAAGTGTTTGGATGCAGAGATAAGTGTCGCCTGCTGGCTGGGTGCTAGGGATGGGAAAATGTGTTTTGCCTGATTCTTGAACCATCTGGAATGTAGGAGTGATTACAGTAGGGGAGATCGTGGAAAAAGGGAGCAGAAAGGGAGGGAAATCTCCATTGGAAAAAATAGGGTGAAAAATGGAGCAGAGACCAGGTGGAGTGAAAACCAAATACAAAGAGACTGTGGGGAAATAAGGAGAAGGGATGGGGAGAGGACACCCATTTTTCTGGCCCTCATCAGTCTAGTATCTGGGCATTTCACAGTCATTAATGGATTTTATCTTCAGGACACTCCTGTGAGGTAGGAAAGTACTGTTATCCCCACATGGGGAACAGAGACATGAGGTAGATAGTGTCTTAGCCAAGGTCACACGGGCAGGCTGTGGCTGAGCCAAAGATCGAACCCAGCTCTGAGTCACAACCCAGTGTCCTAGCCAATAGACCATCCTCTCTATCTTGATATGCTGTAGACATCCACTTGTCCTGGCCCAGTTTGGGGTGGGGAGTGATTATTTTGCCCCAGTATAGTACTCGTCACAGGCTTCTCTTTACCCAGAAAAATGAGTTTTGGTTCTAAATAAGATCATTTTCTGGCATGGGGTGAAACATGGGTATAAATTTAATGGGGAAAAAATTAGCAAATGTGAAGGCACAGCCTAACAAATAGTCTTAGAAATGTTGCAAAATCTCCACCCCCCACAGAGGTTCACCATCTCAATTGAGCACTGTTGCTGTGTGCTGTTAAACAACTGCTGTGTTCCACCCTAGAAGGGTTGCCCGATCTTTAGATTATGTATTAATTACACCTCTACCTCGATATCACGCTGTCCTCGGGAGCCAAAAAATCTTACCGCGTTATAGGTGAAACCGCGTTATATCGAACTTGCTTTGATCCACGGGAGTGCGCAGCCCCGCCCCCCCCGGAGCTCTGCTTTACCGCGTTATAGCCGAATTCGTGTTGTATCGGGTCGCGTTATATCGGGGTAGAGGTGTATATTGATTACTTCCAGGGGCTTACCCTGAACAAGTCGCAAACCAAGTTTGGGAACCCCTGATCTAGGTGAAATGTCCCAAACATATGTATGCTAACTTTGCCTTAGCTCAACATACAGGATGTGGTTTGCAGGTCCCTTATGTTACAGCCAAAATATACCCTAATATAATAAAACAAATAGAATCATAGAATATCAGGGTTGGAAGGGACCTCAGGAGATCTAGTCCAACTCTCCTGCTCAGAGCAGGATCAATCCCCAGACAGATTTTTGCCCCAGATCCCTAAATGGCCCCCTCAAGGATTGAACTCACAACCCTGGGTTTAGCAGGCCAGTGCTCAAACCACTGAGTTATCCCTCCCCAATCAAACCCATAAGAAAATAAGAAACTTATAAGCAAAGATATATAGGCAGGCAAGCAGGCCAGCCTTAAATGTATCTCATGTACCTGTTACGTACGTCAGTTTGTTGCCAGGACACCTCTGTGGTTAAATTATTTATCTGTGATCAGAACTTCCCCTTAAAGTCTATTTTCAGCTCCCCAAATACTTGAGGTTTTCTGTTGGGCCGTTTATCTGTTCATAGGTCTCAAGCCTTATTCTAACTTGCTGAAGCTAATGTCTTACAGGATACAGGCCTGTAGATTTCTTGCATTACTGCTAAATATAGTGCAAATCAGAATATAATGCAAAGCAGTAAATATAATGAAGGCACGCTAGCCCCCTGGGCTACAGTAGTGGCAGCATTTCAGTAGAGAGTCTGCCACATACCTGCAGGATGACTTCATTACATGGATAGCTCTGCTATCACTGTCCTCTTTAGTGAAGGCAAAGACCACAATTTGCTTTCTTGTTGCTTTGCCACTTGTGAACTATCCCGCTTTTTCTTTCCAAAACTATGCTTAGTCATTTTGTGTTACATGGATTCTAAACTATGGGTTGTGATATTACTGGGGTCTGCAATACTGCGTCACTGTTTAATTCTGAATTTTAACTGGATTATATTTTACCTTGGGACTGATTTTCAGACGTGCTGAGCTCCCCACTTTTTTACTTGGGAATTGCCTCGTTTTCATTTTAATCGGAAAAAGGACCTATTTTCAAGCACCCCACTCTCCAAATCCTCCCTCGCCCCCAAAGAAAAATATGACAAATCCAGTACATGAGCCCTTTTTTTTTTTGACTTGGTACCAAAATACAAAAACTTCCAATTTCATGTAGATTTGCATTTTGTCGTGATCACGTCATACTTCTTCAGCACAGAGGTCCCCTTTATAGTAGACAAATGTTCCAAAGGTCTCTCTGGAAGTGGGTGATATGTGTCTATAACCCACGGCTGATTAATAGGCCTGGTCCACACTAACCCCCCACTTCGAACTAAGGTACGCAAATTCAGCTACGTTAATAACGTAGCTAAATTCGAAGTACCTTAGTTCGAACTTACCGCCGGTCCAGACGCGGCAGGCAGGCTCCCCCGTCGATGCCGCGTACTCCTCGCGCCGAGCTGGAGTACCAGCGTCGACGGCGAGCACTTCCGGGATCGATTTATCGCATCTAGACAAGACGCGATAAATCGATCCCAGAAGATGGATTGCTTACCGCCGGACCCGGAGGTAAGTGTAGACCTACCCATAGATTTGACGTGATAGAAAGCTCTCTCCTGGTCTGTGTGCAATATTGGTGCCCTGAAATCTGTGGCATGCTGATTCCAGGAGCCCTAGAGGACTGCCATATCCCTGCACACTCAGGGAGTCATTACCGCGTAGTTGTGTCAAACGTCCACTCACAGACTAAGGGTATGTCTAGATTGCAGCCACTGGGTGTGATTGCAGCCTGAGCCAACATACCCCCAAGTTAGCTTAAATCTTGCTAGCTCAGGTCCGTAGTCAGCCGCCCCTCAGCTTGGGCTTGGCTATCGTATCTTTGAATCTCTTGCCCCTGAACCTCCTACAGGAGCCCCCCGGCCTGGGCAATCTTACTGTTCCTGGCAGAAGTTCAGCTCACTCCCAGAGTCTTTTCAGAGCCCAGTTCACACTCTCCTTGTCTCTAACCACTGGTGGTGCTTCCCAGGACCCACCGTAGGCCACTGGCTTGAAGCAGCCCTCAAGGGCCTTCACTCATACTGAGCTTGTTGTGTCAATCTGCCCCAAACAGGGCAGGGCGGGCGGCGGGCAGGTGTGAAGGAAAACCTAAGCAATTGCCTGAGGCTGAGCTCCCCTTGCTACCAGAGCTCACTAGCAGTCCCTGGGAAAACTCCTCCCTGCTTCTGTGGTCAGTCTCACCCCTCTAAGTTCCACTTCTCCGAGTGGTGCAGGTTCTGCAGATGCACCTAACTGGGGCTGCCTGAGTACAGGGGTGCTTGTTAGCCTTTCCACCAGTGGGGTGAAGGGCTTGTCCCATCACTGGGTCTTGGAACAATGAAGCTGTGGCAGCACATGCTTCAGCTTGGGCTAGCACCACGAGTAATCACCGAGCGTTCTGGGTGAGTTTGTACAGCCAATGCCTGCAGCCTAGACATAGCCTCAGAGCTCCCTCCTTTGAGGACTTGTGACATGTCCTTTAGTGACATGTAGGATGTGTACTGACTCTGCACTGGGGTAAATGTCATCCTGATGTGATGTGCCATGTTACCGATTGGCAAATATCCCTGCCGTCCATCTTCTGTTCATCTCTACACTGAGATGTTGTGGTTTGATGTACCTGGAGAACCACAGCATGAAGTGCACATACACAGGAGCTGGCCTTTCTGCTCACTGTGCTGAAACATGCCAGAGGCCACCACCAAACTACCCGATACGTCCAGGAGTCCTGAACCTACTTCCCACCTTGTCCAGATTGGTTGATCCTCCGGACGATGTCTCAAGGCCTACTAATTTTCCCAGGCTTTCCTTGAGGAGGTGGGCTATTAACCACATGCCCTAAATCCTGTGGCACTGAAATATTTAATACTCTTCAGTATTATTTTCCTTCAATCTATTGATTTTTTTTTTTTAAAGTGAAGATCCTAATTTTTAAACTAAAATTGGAAACTAAATGCCAGGTTCCAGCTTTCGTAGCGAATCCCGTTAGTTTCACAGTTTGTTGCAGCGGTAGGTAGTAAAATGGGTTGATTCATATCAGCCTAATAAACTACATTGAACTACATTACAAACGTTGAATCTATCTCCCCATGTAAGTACTCTCACACTTCTTATCAAACTGTCTGTACTGGGCTATCTTGATTATCACCTCAAAAGTTTTTTTCCTCTTACTTGATTGGTCTCTCAGAGTTGGTAAGACAACTCCCACCTTTTCATGCTCTCTGTATGTGTATATATATCTCCTCAATATATGTTCCATTCTATACATCCGAAGAAGTGGGCTGTAGCCCACGAAAACTTATGCTCAAATAAATTTGTTAGTCTCTAAGGTGCCACAAGTACTCCTGTTCTTTTTGCGGATACAGACTAACACGGCTACTATTCTGAAACCTAATAAACTATAGCATTCCTTTTTTTTCCTGGTCTTTATTACTTTATTTTCTGTTCAAAATCTGGTTAGAGCTGGATACCACAGAGCCAATTTCACGTGCTGTACTAGGAAATTGTGAAATTCGATCACATTATATTTACAAAAACAGTCTTCTACGAGATGTACATGCAGTACCTAGTATAATAGGACCACAATCTTAGTTGGAGATGCTACTGTAATATTAATGATAAGTGCATGGATTTATGGTTCTGTTTTCTGTACTGCACTGTGCCTTTAAACGTCGGAAGTCCGTCTGCAATGGCGGCAGGGTTGTGAGGTGATTTGGGATCTTACAGCATGAGAGAGACTTTCTGTTCTCTCTCCCTCTTCTGGAAACTTTATTTTTATTTTTTCTAATTTTAAGTTATGGGAAATGACACAGAGAGTTC